CAATGACATTCTTAGTCTAACTCCTAACTGGCTAGTCTCACTCTATTGTGCTGTAGAAATACTCACAACTCTCCCCTAACCTACAACCTTAATACTTGACCTCCATAATTCCCTGTCAAGGGTCATGTCCTCAGTAATCCTAAGTCGCGTCATGTCCTGTCTGATCACCTCTCCCCAATACTTCTTAGGTCGTCCTCTACCTCTCTGCGTGCTCACTACATCCAGTCACTCACACCTCCTCACCGGTGCATCAGTGCTCCTCCTCTGAATGTGCCCGAACCATCTGAGTCTTACTTCCCGCATCTTGTCCTCCATGGGGGCCACACCCACCTTCTCTCGAATATCTTCATTCCTAATCTTATCCATCCTTGTATGCCCGCACATCCACCTCAACATCCTCATCTCTGCTACTTTCATCTTCTGGATGTGTGAGTTCTTTACCGGCCAACATTCAGTTCCATACAACATGGCAGGCCTAACCACTGCTCTATAAAACTTACCTTTTAGTAACGGTGGCACTTTCTTGTCACACAAGACTCCCGACGCTAACCTCCACTTCATCCACCCCACCCCTATACGGTGTGTGACATCCTCGTCAATCTCCCCGATCCCCTGAATAACCGATCCAAGGTACTTGAAACTACCTCTCTTGGGAATGACTTGAGAGTCAAGCCTCACTTCAACTCCCGCTTCCGTCGGCTCAACTCCAAATTTGCACTCGAGGTATTCCGTCTTCGTCCTACTCAACTTGAAACCTTTAGACTCAAGAGCATGTCTCCAAATCTCTAGCCTCTCGTTGACGCCGCCTCTTGTCTCGTCAATTAGAATAATGTCATCAGCAAATAGCATGCACCATGGAACCTCCCCTTGAATATGATGAGTCAGTGCATCCATCACCAGGGCAAATAGGAATGGGCTGAGCGCAGACCCTTGGTGCAACCCCGTAATAACTGGAAAGTGTTCAGAGTCGCCTCCTACTGTCCTAACCCGAGTCTTAGCTCCATCATACATGTCTTTAATCACCCTAATATAGTTACTCGGGACCCCTTTATCCTCTAAGCAGCTCCATAAGACCTTCCTAGGAACCTTATCGTACGCTTTCTCCAGATCAATAAACACCATGTGGAGATCCTTCTTCTTATCTCTGTACTGTTCCACCATCCTCCTAATAAGGTGGATAGCTTCTGTGGTAGATCGTCCCGGCATGAACCCGAACTGGTTGTCTGAAATAGACACCGTCCTTCGCACTCTCATTTCTACCACTCTCTCCCAAACTTTCATGGTATGACTTAGTAATTTGATGCCCCTATAGTTGTTACAGCTCTGGACATCACCTTTGTTCTTATACAACGGGACCATTGTACTCCACCTCCACTCTTCAGGCATTCTATTAGTCTTGAATATAACACTAAACAATGCAGTAAGCCATTCCAAGCCTGCTTGACCCACACACCTCCACAGTTCAACCGGAATCTCGTCTGGCCCGGTAGCTCTGCCCCTTCTCATCTTACGCATTGCCTCCATGACTTCATCGATCTCAATGTCCCTACAATTACTTAATTCATGGTGACTGTCGGCATTCCTCGATTCCCCAAGTATAATATCCTGATCCCCTTCTTCACTTAGAAGTTTATGAAAGTAGGTCTGCCACCTCCTCTTAATCTGGTCATCTCCCATCAAAACTTTGCCGTCATCATCTTTTATGCACCTCACTTGGTCCAGATCCCGAGTTGTCCTCTCTCTCGCCTTAGCGAGTCGGAATAACTTCTTCTCCCCACCTTTGTTCCTTAGTTCCTCATACAGACGAGCAAAAGCTGTCGTCTTAGCCTCCGTCACTGCCATCTTCGCCTCCTTCCTAGCTACCTTATACCTTTGACTGTTCTCTCTCTTCTCCTCCTCGTCAGTGCTCCCTACTAACCTTAGGTAAGCCGCCTTCTTTGCTTCCACTTTACCTTGGACAACTGCATTCCACCACCAATCTCCTTTGTGTCCACCATAGTGGCCCGTAGATATCCCTAACACCTCTCTCGCCGCCTTTCTTATACAGTCCGCAGTCGTCGACCACATTGTGTTTGCGTCCCCACTACTTCTCCAAGCTCCCATTGCCGATAACCTTCCTTCCAACTCTTTAGCTTTATCCTTAGTTAAGGCGCCCCACCTAATCCTGGGGCGTCCTTGTACTGACCTCTTCTTCCTCCTTATCCTAATACAAATGTCCATCACCAAAAGCCTATGCTGCGTTGAGAGGGTCTCACCTGGGATAACCTTGCAGTCCTCGCACAACCTTCTGTCGCATCTCCTGAGGAGTAGATAGTCAATCTGAGTCTTCGCCACCGAACTTTGGTAAGTAACCAAATGTTCATCCCGCTTCGTAAAACTCGAGTTTGCAATGACTAGATCGAAAGCCTTGGCAAAGTCCAACAGCGCAATGCCCCCTCCGTTCCGCTCTCCGAAACCAAATCCGCCATGCACCTCAGTGTACCCACCTGCAGATAACCCAATATGACCATTGAAATCTCCTCCTATGAATAACCTCTCAGAAGGCGGTATACTACGAACAATCTCATCCAACCCCTCCCAAAATTGCCTTTTAATATCCTCATCCAAGCCTGCTTGTGGTGCGTACGCGCTAACGACATTTAAAGTACCCTCACCCACCACCAACTTAATAGTCATTAGCCTATCATTCACCCGTCTGACCTCCACCACGGACTCCCTAAGATGGCTATCTACCAGGATACCCACTCCATTCTTACCCCTCAGGACACCAGAGTACCACAACTTATACCCATCCACATTTTTCGCCCTCGATCCGACCCACCTAGTCTCCTGGACACACGCTATATTAATCTTCCTCTTCTGCAGGATTTTCGCCAACTCTATGGATTTACTCGTTAGTGAACCTATGTTCCATGACCCGATTCTCAACCTATAGGCTCCCTTGCCCCCTCTACCTCCCCTGCTACCCGACCCACCCCCTAAATGGGATATATAGAAATGGGATATAAAAGATACGACTGGAAAATGGAGAGAGTCAACCAATGCCTCGTAAGATTGTCTAATATTTACCGCTGTTCTTTGACGGAACCTGATTCACTGGCTGGAAAACTAATAAGAAATGAGTGTTATGCAGAAGTCTTATTGTAATTCACGAACGGTCATCAAATTTTTTGTTTACTGCACCAAAATCACTAAACTTTTTTGTCACTTAAAAATTAATAAACTTTTTTTACACTGCTCAGAAAATCAAAATGCTAGAAAAACACATCAACCGACATAAAAAACCAAATAGACAATGCCAAAATACCAAGCTAACTATGCGATGCTAGCCGTGCGAATTTCAATTAGTCCCTAAACTTAGGATTTAATGCAGTATACTCATAAAATTCCGTAAATTATTTTTTCATTGTAAAAAGTTACCGCATCCCCTATCTATCCGATAAATTTCTAGTGAAAACATTTTATCGAGTAAGTTTTGCTAGATAAATATTACATTACAAAAATGTATCTCATATGATGGCATGGCATAGACACATCAATTAAAAACAATTGTAAATGATAATAGGTAAAAAGAATTTACATATCACATAAATTCTTTTACATGTTACAACAATGTTTCTCTTTCTCATATAATGACAAAACATAGCCATATACACAAAATAAAAATTACCGTGTAAGTTATATAGGCAAATGTATTGATAATATCATTTTACACTAACAATGTTTCTCATAGGCCAATTATAACCCCCAAGATCCCAACACTAGACTGTTCGAGAGGGAGAGGGAGAGAGAGAGAGCTAAGGCGCAATAGTCTGTGCATCAACATAGTATACTCTAAGCCATCAATTGAGTGGAATTTACAAATTGTTTGAGTCGCGGTTGGCAAGTATATTCAACCCTTTATTTCTCCACGTAGAACCAATGTTTAGGTAGACTCCACTATGCTGTCACTCTTTGATATGTTGGCAATTGTCCTTTGTACATTCATACGCTCTTCATACTCTTCTTCACTGCAGAAAGAAAAAAAAACCTTCATCTTTAGGATGACACATTCACCTATTAGAACCAATAAAGCATGTTCAGCAGCTTCCCCAGCTACATTATCTTCTTCCTGAATCCTGATTAAACAGCTACTGAGCTCACTATCTACGTGGAAATTAATATAAGCCCACCAATAGAAGAGGAAGGATAAAAACAAGCAACCTTGGATTTGGCTTGCAGGTTGCAATATGTGTCAATTCAAATACTTCAACAATTTTCAGCAAACAATGTCTAAATCTGTTTGTTGTTTTCATGTAAGCAAAATCACGTCCCCAATTTAAAGAAAGAAAAAGAAAAGAGGAACCATTTATATAAATGCACTGCCTACACACCAGAAAAAGGAAAAGGCATGTAATGAACTAATTCAAGGCTTGAAGATATCAGAATTATAGAAAATGCTCAGTTCTCAGATGGAATTAGGTGTTCAAAATCTGCATACAGAAGAATGGATTATTGTGCATGGATCCTGTGAGTTAAAGTGGTAGTCACAAAGATGGATTGCAAAGTGAAGATAAAAAGAAACTGATTGTGAAAGCTCATTCAAAGAGATGCAACAAAATGGACTGGAAACATCTCCAATAAAACATCAAAAAACATGTAAAATACCTTGTAAAATGTTGATAGGCCCTATACATGGCCAGCATAATGATTGAATGCAGACACCACCATCGGTCTTGAAGCTTTTTTAAGTATTTAAGGTCAGTTATCGGCAACTTTTTGCTCTCGTTAGCTGCATTTCTCCACGACAAATCAAGTTCTCAGACATCACCAGCTGGCAACTCAGAGAACCATGGATCTGTTCATTGATTTATCATGATAAGGTTTGATCCACCAGAATGTCAAACACGAAAGTTGTTTAATATTAGAAGAGCTTACCGTGGAAGAGGACCTCAAGCCAAGGAATCAGGGGCAGGTGTTACAGATGAGCCTGAAGACCTGAGGAAGAGCAAATGTGCAATAGATCGATCTAAAGAATTGGTGTCTCTTTCCATGTCCATATACCCTTGCCACCTGCAATACAAGCCATTACAATCTAGGAAAAATTATGCGAATAGAATAGAATCTAGGAAAAATTACGCGACACAACAAACATATACACTGTATTTGTCATTCGTAGCTTTACTTTCAGAAAATTACCAATTAGCTATATTTGAATTTTATAACAAATACAGGTAGATCAATCGTTTTGAACTGAAACAAGAGTACAACAAGCTCTCGTAGCTCAATTGGTTAGAGCACCTGTTTAGTAAGCGGAGGTCTTGAGTTCGACTCTCTACAAGAGCATTCTATTTTTCTGTATTTTTGTATTTCGCCTTGGTTATAGTCGTTTGTGCGAATTAATACAGTCGATACATATTGTATTCTTTATATACACCAATGTATTTCGATGAAGTAATGAGTTTTATAGAAAAAGGCATCAAGAAGATGCAAGAAGTACCCATGTATTTCGCCTTGGTTGCATTCGTTGCGCGAACAAATACAGTTGATACAAGTTACATTCGAACAAATACAATTGACACATGTTGTATTCGTTGAGCGTCTGAATACAAGTGATACAAGCCGGTAACAATTGAACAGTAGCTAAGAACGGTAATTAGACAAACTATAATTACGTATGGTAATTATGTAATGCTTTATGAAAATTTCACCTATGATGTCCGCCAACTGACCCTCAACCTCCCCACTTCCCCCTCCCCCCACCCAGCCAAACAGAAAAAATGAAGATCCCCTAACTTGTTGGCTTAGTTTTTCACTAACTTGACTACCTACCTCTCCCTTTTCTTTCTGAAACCCAAAACAAAGAAAAAGAGGAATGTCTAATTTCCGCAATCGTCACTAACATGAACTAACAGTCCTATTCCTTCACCTGGTAAGATTGAGCATAAAACTATGATTTGGTCAACCAAACAAGCACAAATGAGATCTACCAACATTATTTGGCAGAAAAAAACATGCTCCTACAGTACCATCCTGTCCATTGAGATACCTTGCTAAACTTGTGAACATGAGGTTTCTTAAGATACCAGAAACGAGAAAAGGGGGGGAACAAAAAAGATCAGGAACTGCATTCTAAGGATTTAGAAAGACACTCGAGTTACCTCGAGAGAAATGAAAAATGATCAAATTTTGAAAAAAAATGATGGAAGATTAGAGATATATTGGAAACTTGATAATTTGACAAATACAAGACATACCTATTAAAGGTGTCAAGCACTATAAACGTGATATTTTTCCAATATACAGCAGTATCTTAATAAAAACTTAACAATTCTAGACTCGTAATTACAACGACGTGTATATTAATTTCAACAATCGATAAGCTTTCGATTTTCTAACCGTCTATCCTTTTCTTTTTCCCAAGCAATAACTTCTTGAACAGAAAACCCTGCTTCAGTCATTTTAGGCTGGGGAGGGGTAGTGGAGACTTGAGAGCACTGTCTACTAATCAACCATAGGGTGCAATCTTTGGAAACTAGAAACGGTAATTTAAAATCCACCCTTCCTGCTTATTTCTCTAAATTTTTGTGCACAGTTTAATGTTTATAATAGAACCTGAACAGTTCTACTCTGTACTATCGGGCTCCTTAATCACAAAACTTAGTACTGTACATACTGCCTATTGTCCTGAAGAAGCCCAGGAGTGACCAGCCAATGGCAAACCTGGTACAAACTCTGTTTTCTAGCAAAATGCATAAATGATCAACGAGAAACCCTAATGGATAAAAAGGAATTGAGCAGAGTTCTGAACTTACACTACTAAACAGATGCCACTTTAAATTCGGGATACTATTCAGGTATTCACACAAAAGACCTCGCATCTGTGAGGTAAGCTAAATTAAGCTCAAACTTGATGCCAAAATACACATTTAACTGGCTGCTCACAGAAAGCTTGTAGTACTTAATGCATTAGAACTTGTGCAATGCAAGAGCCAAGATCACGCGCTATCCTGAGAAAATATTATGCATGCACATTAAAACAATTGTAATACGAGAGTCAAGATTATGAGATGTTTTGAGAAGAATGGCCCTTAGCGCTCAAGAAATACTCATACTTGTTTGTCCTTTTGCAAGTCAATGCTTGGCTTGTATCTCTATCATCTCCAGAGTCATTAATGACATTAGCATCTCTATGCCTTTGTTCAGCACTCCGAGCCAACCGGTACAAGCTATCCCTTATGCAGAGCTTTGTCCTTATATCCAACTAAACCAACAAAGTAAAACATAATTAGCTTTATAAAAATGAAAATACCGCGAATCAGTCAATTTTTCAGCAGGACTGCTAACTGCTACACCGCAGCCAGAGGGGAGAGGATTCAGATTGGGATAATTCAAGCAAACAAAAAACAAAATTTCAAAAAAATAAAACAAAAGCTTTTGAGGTGATACCCCATAAAGAAGCAACATACGTGTGCAACTAGATGATGAGAAATGAAACAGTTTAGCTTTAGTAGATCTCCAACCGCAACATGCCCAAAAAGACCACCCTGATGTATAAGTGTGTATAAGTCTGCAAGCCTATAATATACTATATCCATAACCACAGCAAGATGTAAAATATTTCTAGCACATAATATGATCCTAGAACAATAAATATATTTGCTTCAGATTCGAACCATCAAATCTAAGGTCGGTTGGACATGTAAGGTTAAATAAAATATTCCAGCTTAAAGTAATGAACTCGCATCAAACAAGTTTGAACACATGCTACTTCCGTAGAGGGACACTCGGACCAACAAAATAAGACTTGTTTGACATGTAACTTTAAATTATTTTTCCAACTCAATTAATAAATTCATCACCAAACAAGACTGAAACACATGTGAATTTTGTAGAGATCCCGCTTACCCGTTCTGTGACATGTTGAAGCTGATGAAATCCAGCAGTTTCTTCTGCTACTTCATCCAACCCAGAACTAATGGAAGTGCTCTCTGCTATAATTGAGGAACCTAATTCTGGTGGAATTCTCGTGCTAATGCCTTCAGGATCACTGCTATTTTCAAACTTAATTCCAGAATGATGAAGTAGCTTCTCCTCCACCTTTTCACTTGTTGTGATAGTACCCATCTGAAAAGAAGGATCAGGAGAGCTCTGCCTACACTGCAGATGATTTGGTGAAAGGGACATGGAACCATCATTTCCAGATTTGGTAATCGATGAAGTTGGGTGATGGACAATTTGATCTGAACGACTGTAATCAGACATGTAAGAAACGCCACTATGTAAGTAACCAGTCTCATGTTCATGAGCTTCATTTTGCTGAGGAATACCCGATGATATCAAATTGCCTTTAGGTCCAGTGGCCTCAGTAGAATGTCTTCTCTCTTCTGAAAGGCCATCAATGTTACGCAAGGCAACATCATTTTCTATATAAACACATTTTCTCTTTCCTTCCGATTGGTTCTGGTGATTTGCGTGCTTCTTACTTATATTATTCTGTGGAGAACCACACAAGCAAAATTAATAAAAAGAGGGGGAATCATGGTTGACTATCTTTATGCAACAGCAGTCAAGATGAATGCACCCAATTCTTTTTGATAAGACGACTCAACAATCAACCTAATATACAATTAGAAAGTCCACGTATCAGAAATTAAGTAATGAAGAATGATATAAATTTTCAAAACAAGTTACCACACCCTAGGAAGAAGAATTTAAATTAATACTGGTACCGCACTTTCAGGATGAATTGAGCCCATGCTAAGGTTATGAGATCTCATTTTACATAAACGCGCGCACGCAGAGAAAGATCATGTAACATGGAACTACCATCACTTTCAAAATTTACCATTACACTACCGCTGATCCTCAGTTAACTGTTAGTCAACATCTCAACTTGGAGTCTATCAGAAAATTCTACTTTCTCCAAACGCCCACCTCAGAAGTAACTCAACACAGAACTCAAAGTAAGAGAGAAGAATTTGAAGTACACCAAGACAGAATTATACTTACTTTCTTTAGAGGTACTAGTTTGCAATCTGAATTACTTGATCCATTCACAAAAGACAGATGGCTCAGATTGGCCAATTCATCTTTCTGTGAGGGCCACAAATTTCCATTATAGCTAACTGGTTGACTTTTAATGCCAGAATCACTAATTGAACTGCCCATTTCCTCCGTTCTTGAAACTTCAAGACTGCCGTTTTTTTTCAGTGCACTGGATGTTGAGTTTTGACACTGAATATCTGACCTCAATCGATCTCCAGATCCTTCAATAGTATCTGATGATGCAAACCAACCAAGGTCATCCTCATTGCTGGCTCCAAGTCCAAATGTCGAATCACAACTGCGGGAGAACATCACAATAGTGAGTACTAGTTTGAATAGAATTCCTCCTTTTAAACATGAAAAAAAACATAGGACAATTGAAAGCTTCACCTCATTGAATATGAAGAAAACAATTACCTGAACATCATGTCAATATCCTCAAAGTTCCCCATCTCAGACCAGTTATAATACAAGAGATCATTAGTGTTTTTATCCACCCGGTTGTTGTCAAAACAACTCAGATCATCATCTACCAGAGAAATGGGACCAAGTGGAAAGCTACAAGAGTTTTCCCCAATGGCAGCTTTCTTGTTGTCCAAAATGGGGCCATTTTGGCAGAAGTCACTGTCAATGGAGTCTACGTTTTTACGTTTGAAGCAATGATGCAATGTCCCAACATTCAATGAGCTTTTGCCACAGGTATTAGGCAACACAAAATCACGTGCGTCCGCCCATAAGTCCTCTTCTAACATCATGCTGCTGCTACTATTTAGTGGAGGAACTTCTTCTTGCTCCTATCACTGATTACAATATTTAACTGTAGATTAATTTCCCACAGTACTTGATTAAACCACCTCCTTGCACAGTTATCACTCTTGGAAGGAATTCACAAACACATCCACAATAGGATATTGCACTATATGATTATCACTATCGCAAAACTTGTCCCCATCTTTAGCTTCTAGCTGTAATACCAGAATTTTAGCTGTAGTAACTGCAGAGAATATTTGTCAAAATGTGTTCATCAAGAGTAGAAATTAATAAATTAATAAAGTTAAATTTGAAAAATGAAAAAGCCAGATGAAAGTAGAATGATGATCGATGCCAATCTAGAAAATACTAAAAGTCTAGCCTGTAAGTCCTGAGAGATTATGAGTAGTCACGGCTACTGAAAGACAACTTTACGGTATATTAACCTATTCTTAAAAAAAAAGAAAAAAAGTAAAAAAAAATTACAGTATATTAACTAGGCCTCCATACCAATTTGGCAAAGACAATTTACTGTATTGAGAGAAAATCAAGAAGATTCTAGACACAACAACCCAGTATAGTCCCACAAGTGGTGTCTGAGGAGGGTAGATAGAACGCAGACCTTGCCCCTACCGTGAATGTAGAGAGGTTGTTTCTAGTAGACCCTCGGCACAAGGAAAAATGTGAAAATAGCAGTAGCAACAAGCAATAACGAGAACAAAACAAAAGAAACAAGGCAAAAGGAATAACATGAAGATAGAAATCTACAATATTAGAATACAAGACTGCCACTAATAATGAGATTCTAGACACAATGGTCTGTTTTTCTCATTTGGTCTCTCTTTTGGCAGGAGGGAAAAGAATAAATGTGAGTTTCACAGTATCTATTATCTTAAAAACACGCAGACATAATATAAAAGACGGTTGAACAAGCAGAAAAATGAGCAAATATCAGCTTAACAAGAAAAAGAGGAAACGGTGTTCATAAATCACTGGTATTTGCTAACTCAATTAACGAGTAGTAACGGGGCGTGGATATGAAGGTGGTAACGCTACCGTTTTTTATTTATTAATTAGAGGAACGCCTCTTTATTATGGACAAAAAACCTAGCTAAATTATTACAATAAGACTAACAAAAGAATCTAGTATACAGTAATTAGTCGTTTATTATCTTCATAAAAATTATCATTTCTTTTACACTGTGAACTTGTTATACGAGCCAAATTTCCTTTTACACTAACAATACTAAAATTATCATTTCTCAATCAAGTGCTAAATCGAGTTCAACTAAGTGAAATCATCAGTTAAAGAGGTATCACATAGAAACATTCAAAACAATAATTTCCAGATTAAAACTTTTCCTACTCTTTTCAGCAACAAATCAATTCACAAGCTGGAAACACTGAAAATACAGGAAAATTAAAAAACTAAGATAATTTTACTGTCGGAAAGCTCACCGGAAAACCAATAAATATCGAGAACGAACTTTGCCGGAAAATCAATACTGTAATTCCAAAAACCCTAGTTTGATTCTCAGGAAACACAGATCTATGTAGGGAGAGAGGAAAGAAGCTTTTTGTTTGCTTTGAAATTATCTCGAAGATATATAATGTATTTTTAAATATTAATAAGTACGTGGAAAGCCAAGTGTGCAATGAGATCAAATTTGTGGCCTAAAAACTTCTAGGGGTTTTCGGGGTATCAAAATTCGTGGACGAGAGGAGAGGGTTAAGAAACGATCTGTTTTCGGTAGTTCATTGGTCCACGTAAGAAGAAACCGACACGTGTCAGCTGCTTGCCATTCTGAACAGTTGAAACAACGTGCCGGCGCCTATATTTCGGTCAATATAAAGTTGATGTTATAAATATATTATATTATGGATGTTCATTTAGTATTCCGTTGTAAATAAGCTTCCTGAAAAAGTTTATCCATATGGGACTCTATCGTAAATATATTTATCTATTTAGTACTATATTGGAAATAAGCTTCCTGAAGAAGCTTATCACTTCGGTACCCGGTTATGGATAAACATTACCCCCAGTAGAAGTTTATCCATACCGGGTATAATAGGCTTATCTTTTCAGTACCCAGTTATGGATAAACATTACCCCCGGTAGAAGATTATCCATACCGGGTATAATAAGCTTATCCATTCAGTACTCCGTTATGGATAAATATTGCTCTCAGTAGAAGATTATCCATATCTGGTACAGCAGCAGCTTACACAACAGCTTGTAGCAGCTTACACAGCAGCTTGTCGTAGCAGCTTACACAGCAGCTTATAGTAGCTTACACTGCAGCTTGTAGTAG